GTCATTTCGGAACCCTCCAGCTCCGATGCGGAGCTCACCGATGGGTCCACTGACGTCCCAAGCCTGCAGCTCGTCGGGCGTGAGCGGCTTGGCTTCCCGCCAAGGGAGTCCCTCCACTACAGGATTCTGCCCTCGTAGAAGCTGTGGGAAGGCCACCGCAGGATGCTTGGGCGCATGCTGTAACAACGGTCCAGGAGCACGTTGTAGGTTGGGCAAGTCCCTAGGGAGTCGTGGAACCGCTTGAGTACGGAAAGGGACATGCCCATAGCTGCCGCCCGTGCGGATATGACTGTGGGGTGTAGCTGGTTCTCGTCGCCGCAGATCAACGCCCAGCCTCCGCTGCGGACCAACAGCATCAAGGGGATTGCAGACAAGTGAGAGTGCCCCAAACTCACGGACGCCCGTACACACATATGTATGTATATATATATATGTACACAGGTGTATATTTATACATGTACACAGTTTCATTACCTATTCATACACACATACGTACATACAGACATACACATACATTCACACGTACATACGTACAGACATGCATACGTACATATATATATATATATATATACATTTATGTGTACGCACATGCATACCTACATACACATATACCTAGATACATACATACAGACAGACATACACACATATACTGGTACACACATGGTTACACAGTTACGTGCGTGTATGCATGCACACATACATACATATGTACATACACAGTTGCACATACAAGCATACAGCATACAACAATACACACGTACAAACATACATACGTATTCACATACATACATACACGCATACACGCACATACACATCCACACATGCATACATGCATGCACACATTCACACCTACAGACGTACCCATACACATACATGTAAGCATTCACATACACATAGACATAGACATAGACATACACATACACATGCACACCCACACACATACCTGCATACATACACATATATACACATGCACATATACATACATTCCTACACATATATACATATATACACAAAGATGCATACATACATACATACACGCATGTCTACATACATGCATGCATGTTTACTTAGTTGCACACATACAAGCATACGACGTACACTTATACACACCTACATACGTACAGACGTACTCACACACATTCACACATACACGCACCTATACATAGGCACATGCAGGCATGCATAGATGCATACACACACGTACACACACTTACACATACACGTGCACATACATATACACATACACATACACATAATCATGCACATAAACATTGACATATACATGCATATACACACATACACACATACACACATGCATACATATATATATATATACAGACATACATACGTACGTACGTACGTACGTACCGACATACAAACAAGACTCCATTGGCGCTTCGCGCCATGCATTTTGGTCCTTCATGTTTGGCAGACAGACAGGAAGGCAACAAGTCAAAACGGAACATTTAGCGACAACTCGTTGTTGCTTGTTCTGGCATCGTGATTGCGTCTTGGGGTCATCTTGAGCCGTCGTGAGGCTCTCTTCGGGGCATCTTGGGGCCCTGTTGGGCCGTCTTGGGGCTCCTCTTGGACTGCCTGGAAGCCATTTTGGTTAAATTTGGGGCGATGCTCTGGCCTCCTGGGCGGTCTCGGACGCAAGGAAGACCGAAGAACTGAGCATTCCCAAAGTCATGACTATAGGAAGTCCATGTTTTTGCGTCTCGAATGTCTCTTGGGGGTCTTCTTTGGGTCGTCTTCGGGCATCGGTGAGTGTCTGGGGCCTCTGTGGGCTCTCGCGGGGCCGTCCGGTCGCCCTCCTGACCGATTTGGGCCCGCTGCCTAAAGCACAGGGGACGGTTTGCAAGGGCGTCCAGGGTGCCCCCGGGGCCAAGGATCCAGAGGGGTCCCGTTTGGGGGGGGGGTCGCAGGGTCCCAGATTACAGAAACATAGGGGAATATATATACAAGACTACATTCGCGCTTCGCGCCATGCACTTTGGCTTTCGGGTTCGGCATGGAGACAAGACGGCAATAAGGTAAATCGGAACACTTAGCGACAATTCGTTGCTGCCTTTTCTGGCATGGTCGCTCTAATAATGTTATTCGTTATCCTTCCCTCATGCTTCCGCTTCCTATTCCTCTTCCTCATTCTCGCCCTACTCTGTGAATTCGCCACCATCCGCAGCTCTTTTTGTGGAGGCTCATCCTGGGAGAGCCTCTTGTAAGTCCCGCGAAGGTTTGTAAGGGCTTGTCGGGGCCTTCTGGAAGCCTCCTGGGTTCCTTCTGGGGGCGAGTGGGGCTTCCCCGGGCCACCCTGCTTCCAACCGCGGTCTCCCTGAACGACTGGGCCACGATTTAGAATGATTCGGGAGGCGTCTTGGGGCCATCTTGGGCCGTCATGGGGCTCTCTTCGGGGCATCTTGGGGCCCTGTTGGGCCGTCTTGGGGCTCCTCTTGGACTGCCTGGAAGCCCTCCTGGTTAAATTTAAATCGATGCTCTGGCCTCCTGTGCGGTCTCGGACGCCCCAAAGACCGAATAATTGAGCATTCCCAGCATAATGCAAAAGCCAGAGGACATCTATGTTTTTTGCATTGCGTTTCGAGCGTTTCGAATGCCTCTTGGGTGTCTTCTTTGAGTCGTCTTCGGGCGTCTGGTGGGTGTCTGGGCCTCTGTGGGCTCTCGCGGGGCCGTCCGGCCGCCCTCCTGACCGATCTGGGCCCGTTGCCTAGGCCCAGCAAGTGCTTCAGGAGCCCCGGAAAGCACAGGCGACCGTCTGCAAGGGCGTCCAGGGTGCTTCTGGGGCCAAGGATCCAGAGGGGTTCCGTTTTAGGAGGGTGTTCGCAGGGTCCCAGATTATGGAAATGTAGAAAGGAAAGGGAGTAGAAGTAAAAGTGTATGTAAACATACAAAACGATATACATGCGTACATACATACATACCTACATGCATGCATACATACATGCATACAAACATACAAACATACCTACATGCATACATACATACATACATACATACATACATACATACATACATACATACATAAATACATACATACATACATACATACTTACATACATACATCCATACATACATACATACATACAAACATGCACACATACATACATACACATACACACATGCACGCATATATAAATACATACACACATACATGCACAAACGTACATGCATACATGCATGCATGCAAGCATACACACACATGCAGACATACGTACATACATACATGCATATGCATACATGCATGCATACATGTATGCGTACATGCGTACATGCATATCTATTTATATATGTATATACACGTAGATGTCTATATCCATACAGATGTCCCTCTTCCTCGCGCATCCTCTTCTTCAAGATAGCACTGGATCAAAAAGCGAAACACACACAAACGTTCACGGCGCAGGCCCTCGCGGAGCTCGGCCGGGTCGACGACGCGCGCTGGCTCACGCGGGCGCAGTGCACAGGGCGCCGCGAGTTGGTGTCCGCGGAGGTAGAGGCTGGCGAGGACCCCGCGGCGAAGGATCGGCGGTTGCAACCCCAGACCTCCGAGGGTATATTTTTTCCAACCGGCGGCTGTTCCTCGATTTCGGCTCCCGGGGCGCGTTTTGAATTCGCTCGTTCGATCGTTACCCGGGCCAGCCCCCCTGCCCCCCCCCCATTTCCCCATTCCCTGGGTAACAGTAGCGATCCTACGCAGCGGGAGGGCACCCTTCCCCCGCACGCTGGTGCTCGCGCGCGCACTGTGTCGATCGCAGCGTATCCCCGCGCCGGCGTGCCCCACACCTCCCAAGCGTTACCGTTACTGTAGATGATACGACATTCGACTAGGAGTAAGAGTGACCTTTCGCCGGAGTGACCTTTGGTGCGGGCACAGATGGGCCCCCAGATGACTGAAAGAGAAGCGGTAGCAGCGGCTTGCGCGCTTGTTTTTGTCCCCCCCCCGCGGTCCCCAAAAGCCGCGCACCAAAGGTCACTCTTACTCGGATGCAACTCCTGGGAGGTCCAATTCTGTTTTCGCCCTGGTCCGAAATCCGGCTTACTCCAGCTTGATCCCGCTTTATCCCGCTTAATCCGGTTTAATCCTGCTTAGTCCGAGGCCCACTCCGGCGTAACAGCTCCCAAGAGGGGCTCAATCCTCCCTGATCTTTCCGACGAAAACCTCCCAGCGGTTGCCTCCCAACTCTTACCCAGGGTCACTCGTGGCGTGTGGCCGAGAAGCACCTCCTCAGAGGGGCTTAATCCTCTTTAATCTTTCCGACGAAAGCCTCCCAGCGGTTGCCTCCCAACTCTTGCCCAGGGTCACTCGCAGCGTGTGGCCGAAACATACCTCCTCAGAGGTCCGACGGCCTGATCTTTGTCGGCCAGCGGTTTTTTGTTTCTTCCTCGACTTCGGCCCTCGGGGCCCGTGTTCGGGCCCCGCGGGAAACATACACAACGGCGGACGTCTGGGCCAGGTGCGGGCAGCCCAGATGGGCCATCATACATGAGTCTTGGCATCGCTCGGACGTGTGCATTCTTCCTTCGGCGAGGACCATCGAGGAGCATCTTCGATCATTTGGCGAAAAAAACACGCACGACACCGAAAAAAACACAGGAAATGGACGTCCGAGCGATGGCCAGGAGTCTCCGTGCCTTCGACGAGGCTCCCTAGCGGTGTACGCGTACTGCCCAGTCTTGGCTATATCCATTCCTGCCTGCCTCCGCCCGCAGAGGACCTGATCTCCTGGTCGGAGGCCATCATCAAGACGCCGGACGGCAAGGAGATCCAGATCCGGGACCGGCCCAACGGGCACACCGAAGCGACGTTTAACATCTGGGTCCTCCCGATCTTCGTGGACCACGACCGCAACAACCATGCCGAGCGCAACGCGCTGCTGCTCGCCCTCGAGCACATGCCCATGCACTCGGTGCACGAGGGTGTCGACGGGGTCTACGAGGGTGCGATCCGGGTGTACGCGAGCCACACTCCATGCATATCGTGC